GATCACAGACCTAAACATGAATGCAAAACAATAATGCTTGCAGTGGAAAACATAGGAGAAATCTATATGACCTAATGTTTGATAATGAAATTTTAGATAAAATAACCAAAATGTGAACATTGAGAGAAAAATTGACAATTTGGATTTAATTGAAATTAAGTTTTTTCTCTTTGAGAGATACTTAAGAATATGAAAAAAAAAAGAAAAGCCACAGACTAAGAGAAAATACTTGCAAAACTTAGCTGGTACAAATAATTCTTAAAACTCAATTAATTTAAAAAATCTTGGTTTAAAACAATCAGGCACATTAGAAAATAAGATATGCAGATGGGCAATAAGCATGTTAATTATTTCACAAAATTGTTATAAAAAATTGATTATTAACACAAGATAGAATTTTCTCTTTTTTTCTTTCTTGTTTGGAATACTGAGAATCAAACCTAGGAATGCTCTGCCACTGAGCTCCATCTCCACCTCTTTTTTTTTTTTAACCTTTTATTATGAAGATAATCTATTACTAAAAGGTGGAAGAACTAAACCATTATTAGAATGACTAAAGTGCATAAAATTGGCAATTCCCATTTCTGTTGAGAATATAAAGCAAAAAAAAAATTCCCACTTTTACTAATGGGAATATAAAATCTTCCAGAACCGTTTCAGAAAGTGGCAAGAATGCTGGAATAAGTGTATTAAAAGTGAGGAAGTATTCTGAGAGGGATTCATGGCAATGTCTTTTATTGAAATATTTTTTTTTAATTTAAACATTCAACATGTTGTTGGATCACACCTTATGTTCTCCAATATTAGCTTAATAAACATACAGCTGTTGCATAGGGAGATACTTATAGATATGGGTTCCTTGCTCTGCAAGCTGATAGATCTTAGAATTAGCTACTTCTCATATCAACACGTACTCATATTCTCAGATCTTGGAGCCTAATACAATTTTCCAATAAAATGAAGCAAAGTTACCTGGGGAAATGACCAAGATGGAAAATACAAAGGATGAACAGAGAACATCTTGTGATATCAGAATGTAAGGAAGCGCTATAAAAAAATAAATATCACAATCTCAAGGATGTATTAAAAAGACAGGATAAAATGAAGGAGTTTGCAGTGAAAAAAACTGCAAAAATTTTAACAACAAAATGAAGCAATCTTGGATCATAATATAAAATATATAACAAATTTCTATGAATCCATACTGGTATAAATCAGTTATTAAATATATAACTAATGGGAGAGAATGTACACATTTTCCACTCACTGAATTCTCTAACCTTATGAAGTGTAGTTCATCTTTTGTATTCCTAAAGTGTGGGCTGCATATGACAACTTTCTCCCAGATATTACTACAGAAAAGAATCAGTGAGCAACTTTAGAGAGAAGAAATCTGCCCATTGGCACTGCAGCCAGATGATCAAGGTCAGCATCCACTTGGAAAGCTCATGATGACAACAATGGCATGTTCTTCCTGGGGTCTTCACCAGGAACCAGCAATCCTGGTCCAACCCTGAAATAAGCACAACTCATTTGAGAGGCAGCCTACAAAGTTGCCTTAGCAGTGCTCCTCAAAACTGCACAGGCAGTAAAAAAGAAGTCTGAGAGACTGTCACAGCAAGAGGAGATGAAAGAGACACAGAAGATGAATTTTCTGAGGGATCCTAGATGAGCTCTAGGGACAGAAAGGGATATTTGATAAAAATTAAGGAAACTTGAATACAATATTAACTTTGCTTGATAATAATATGTACATTAATTATGACAAGTATGTCATATAATAATGTGTTAATAAGTGATACTACGTGTTGTTTACATGAGAATGTTTTGGTTATTTTCTAAACAGGATTTTTTGAAAATCTGAAACTATTCTTCAATAGGTTATTTATTATCCAAGCATAGTAGTGTCTCATTCCTATAACACAGTACTAGAGAGCGAGGCAGGAGGATTGAGAATTTGAGGCCAGCCTGAGCTAGTTAGCAAGTTCAAGGCCAGCTACATAGTGAGAATCTGTCTCAAAAAACCCATATACCCATATCTATATATCTATATCTATATAGATATTTTGCTGATTAAGTAGCTCAGGGTTCCTGGAGTTTAATTCCCATTGGTAAAAAAAAAGATGGTTATTTTTAAATATCAATGAACAGAATCACAAAAAATATTGATAGACTTGACTGAATAATAGTGAAATATGAGTGCATAAACACAAAATAAATACAAGAAAAAGTATACTGAACTGAGAGAATAAGATCACAATAATAAAATAAGCTACCATTTTGTCTTAAAATTTCCAAACTTTTGTTTGAAAATTATGAGATTTTTGAGCCATCTCTATGAATCAATAATAAACATAAAAATATAAAGGAAAAGTTTTAATCATATTTATATATTTACTTAGATAATTTAAAGGTTTGATAAAACACTGATATGCTCATGCTCATTAATGGCTCACGTTTTAACATGTTCACTGAAGTGTTATTTATAATGATAAAATATCTTGAGATCATTTAAAGATAAATACTTCTTCAGGACAGTCCACTAAATCTACATTATTGGGTATTATACTCATTAAACTGTATATAAATATTTTTTATGACAAAAGAAGATGCGTGATCCAAAATGTTGATGCTCAAAGCTGTGTATGCCAAATGGCCCAAGCACATAAAATAAAGGACAATGAAATATTTGTTATTTTAACATGAGTTCTCTTGAGTTGTGATTGATAATTTTTGTTTATAATTTATTGATTTACTACCAATCATCATGTACTGCTTTGAAATGAGAAAAAAATATAATGAAAATAAATGTTCTACTCTTACTAAGTTTAAAGACAGCCACAAGACATCTTTTATTAATAATATATTATGTCAGTGAAATTTCAGCAGAACCTTTGTGATCAGATAATTTATGCTTCTCCTGAAAGATCAGGTACCCCGCAGAACGCAGAACTAACTACGAATTGTGATGTCTCTACTGAGAGCCCACAGGAACGGATCTCTGAAATAAGGAAGCGTTTGTCTCTGGCATCTCTCACATACCTCCATGATCATCATACTGTCTCCTTCAACCGTAGCTTCCCAGACCCCAAGGACTCTCGAACTCCAGATCAACTATGTCTCAAATAGGATATCATGAAATTGAAAAAGTGCCTAGACATTGTGAGAGTGAGGACATTTGACCTTGGCCTTCAAGGGAAAAAGAAGTTGGGAAATTATTTTGAAGGAAATTGGATGTGAAGAGTCAGTTTTGTGTGCTTTTTTTGGATACTCAAGAACTGGTGTTTATTGGTTTGACAATAAATTATTCACAGCATATTGTAGTAGAGTGCTGCTAAGCTTTGGGGTTATTATAGTAAATAAGTCAAACATGTGCAAATGCCCAAGGGGTTTAAATCCATGTGTCTATGAAAGACCAAAGAAAAGTATCGTGACAAATAAATAGAAAAATTGATGGAATAAGTTGGAAAAATTTATAGAAAGTGTGCTTCTAACTAAAAGAAAAGAGCAAAGAAAATAAAAGTGAGGGAAAATTTTGCTACAGGAGGATATGAGCTGCTACATTTTTTAATAATTCTTTTTCAGGAGGAAAAAAACCCCATTTTGTAGTGATTGTCAGTTTCCATAGTAAAAATATCTCATCATGGCTAATATAATGATGATCACATAAAATATGGAATTGGGAAGACTAAATCAATTGATAGATATATACACATATATGCATACATAAAATTATCATACAAATATTACCATACATATGATACTATTTCTGTCATACAGATACATCAAGAATATAGGCAACACTATAAAAAATAAAAGTGATGAGTTGAGTGCTGAACATTTATTACTATTTCTCATACTGATTTAGCTATAAGTTTGTATGACTTAATTTCTACTTATAACTATGTTTACAACTGGATCACAAATTTTTGAGAAACTTAGTTATCAGTTCTCATGAGCTAGGACAAGTCAGCTCCAAGATAACACTGAAAATATAGTTGACCTGTGTGTTTGGTGTAACTAGAGCTAAGAAGATAAGAATAAAAGAAAGCAAAGAAAGCAGGGTTTTTAGAGGTAGAGGAAATTTATCTAAGGTCAACTTGCAAACCTCCAGAGTCTTCTTCAGCTTCCTTAGGAATGAGGACCTTATTCTGCACTCCATGGGGAACAACAGGAGCAGTGTGTGTGTGAGAGAGAGAGAGAGAGAAAGAGAGTGTGTGTGTGTGTGTGTGTGTGTGTGTACAAGCTGACAGAAGCTGACTCTGTCATAACACGAGGCAGACTGTGAGAGGGCAATGTTGGAGAAGTACACCATCTTGGAAGTTTCATCTCAAGTCACAGAAGAAGCAGAGGATGAAAAGGGTGTTGAGAAGTAAGAAATGCTCTTTTCTTCAGGAGCATAAGACTCCAAGGAAGAAAATGAAGCCAACCAGTGGGGACAGTGCCATCACTGCATGGATATGCACAAAACACAAAAAATGCAAAACACTGAAGGCAGCCGGGCAGAGGGAATGAGGAGCTCCTCAGGGCAGATGAAGACTGATGTGAACCTCCAGGGCCACACAGGTTTAGGAAGAAGAGGAGAAAGAAGAGGATGTGGAAGCTGAAGACAGTAGGGAGAATGAGTCCCTGAGGTGAGAAGACCCATGTTCTGTCAAAGCCGTGGGGCATAACACCAATTTTGTCATAAAGGCGCATTGTTGTGGGTGTGCATTACCCACGTTTATTCTTTAGAATATTTCTATTGGTGAATTATTAACTTGAATTTTAGGAGTTTTATTGTATTAAGCAATGAGTACTCAACAGGAAAAGTATCAAAAATAAAATATCAAATTTTTAGTATTTATTGAGTGTTTATAAAAAGCATCAAAATTTTCAACATTGACTTATTTTTGGTGTACAAAGTCTAAAGAATAACAGCAGAAATAAATTCCTATATGAACTACAATGAAAATATCAATAGAACTCTACAAAAAAAATCTTTATTTCAATTGTCACACCCCAGGCAATCTTCACACATGACAACAGCATGTTCCGTACACACACATCGCTTACACTGACAGCACATGTGCTTAGCTTTCCTTTCCTATACGGCAGGATGGTCTTGTCACATATCTTGTCTTCCTGTTTTGTCAGGAGCTTCCTACTATATTGTACAATGTACACCTAGCAGGAAAGTAAGATATCAATAAAATAAAATATCATATACATAATGAGTGCTTAGAATAGACATCAACATTTTCACATCATCTGCTTACTTGATTACAAAGCCTAAGAGATAACATCAGAAATAAAACCCCATGTAAACTACAATGTAAATACAAACAAGGGTCTACCACAGAAATAATCTTTGCTTCAACTGTCACACCCAAGGCAGTCTTCACACATGAAAACTGCATGTTCCATACACAAGTACCGCTTACACTGATAGCCCATCTTTTTTTCCCTGCCCTTTCTTGTAGGGCACAGTTGACATCTTTTTGGCGTGCCTGTGGTACACTAGGCCTTTAGGATACTGCACCTGCCTGTTCACCTGTCAGCTCACAAGTGGGCTCCACAATATTTTGCAGTTCCCCGAGCAGAAACATCTTGTTTTTCCTCTGCTGCAAATGATCTCCTATGAGTTCCAGTCCCAGCCCTCTACGAAAATTTCTCCGTGGTATTTTGCACTTGTTACTTTTTATAAACTATCAAACTATTTATGTCACATATGTTTAAAATAGAGTAAAACATAACCATTGAGCAAAGCTTTGTGTTTCAAGTGATATCATAGTTGCTGCATAGCTCATCAACAACATCTACTCCATCTTTGGTTTTGTTGTAGAAAGTTCCCATCTTAGGCTTCTGTCTTGTCCAGGTTCCCCATCACTATTTCCATCATGGTGCAATGCTGACATCAGGAGAACCAGTTTGTTTTTCTTTGCCATATATGAGACCACTGTTCTATCTTTCTGAAACCCAAAGATTGTACTCTAAAATTCTCTGTTTGGAAACTGCAAAATCTCATTTGGAACTTCTGCATTGTTCTTGTGTACAGTTCCTATGCTGGTCAACTTGTGCTCTGTTAGCAAATGTAACATCAATTGGATACTGGTGATCCAACTGCCGAATGTCACATTCCAATTCATTTGGGAGATTGGAACAACAAGTGTGTTCACAACATCACTCGGTTTATTACTGTATAAATAAGTACCTGGTAGGTAAGTTCCAGAATACATTTCTTGTGCCATTTCTCTGTCACAGGAACTTTGGCTTGCACCACCAGCATCAAAGTTATCATTATCCAAGCCGGATTAACCTGATGATTCACTTTTGACCACTTCCAAAACTTACAAATCTTGTTTTTCATCTGCCATTGTCCTTAATTGTGTTACTTCTACCAGAAAAGTTAAAAGAAAACTTTATTGAAACAAATCCTAAATGCACAGAAATTTAGCAATGAGCATTTCATGAGTAACACTGGCCTGTTGCTGCTTTGGAGCTCCTGTACACACCTTGCCATTCATCTTCCACCTGGGTAAATGCACAGCTGGGTTTTTGTTTTCCCCAGATGGAGCTTCTGTGAGTCACACCCACATTCCATTATGGTAACACACATGTTTTCATAACAGAAGACTGTTTTGGGTATATTTTACCCACTGTGATGCTCAGGTAAGTATATGCAAACTCTGATAGATGGAGCATTATGTGGGTAAAAAATCTATGTTTGACACATTTACACAAGTGCATACCTTTTCTGTTTATCATACCAAGTGGGTAAACACAAAGATTTCTTCCTGCATCCCCCCCCCACAACAACTAAGATATATAGCCAGCTACCATTATGCTAAAGTACAAATTTATAGTAGAAAATTATGGGATGATGGGTTGTTGTAACCCAAAGTTATGCCCCCAGGAGGGATAGTGAGAAGAGTTTCAAGGATGCAGGGGTCTTCTATGGTAAAAGTTATCTTCATTTTTCTTTCCTTTTTAGCCAAATTTGGCTTAATCTAAAAGCAATAAGACCTAGGTGTGGTGAGGTAACCTGTAGTCCCAGGTACACAGGAAGCTAAGGCAGGAAGATCAGTTGAATCTGGGAATTTGAGGCTAGCTAGGGTAACAGAGGAAAACTCTACCTCAAAGATGATAGATAAATAGATAGATAGATAGATAGATTATACATAGATTTTCAAAAGAAATGCAGTAAGACTTCATCTCACATTTTTAATGAGCAAGTAACATGATTCCATGGTCATCACAGAGCAGCACTAGGGAATTCAATTCTGAGAGAGAAAATCTGGAAATGGAGGCAATTACTGGTTTATGGTAATCATTTCGAGGAGAAAGAACTAAGCTTTTTCTCCTAGGAAAACATGATAGAAGTCAGCCTGGTGATAACACACTCATTTTCAGAAAATCATCATTAATCAACATTTTAATTCTTTGGGCTGCTAATATTTTCCCTGCTGTCCAGGCCCCAAGAGAAAGTTCACTTTCCTCAGCAGAACAGTTCCCCAAGAACAGGGCTCTAGTTTGTCCTGTGAGGTCAAAGTTTTTTAGCCACAGTGAGCTCAACAGGAAACAGTTTGCCCCATCAGAGAACAGGCCCAGAATTTTCATTCAAAGTCAGAATCTAGAAGACCCTTAATTCACATCCTGCTCAAACCATTTCCTTTTCAAATCAGGGTTCATCTCAAATACTCTGTCTCCTTCTGAGATTTCTAATAAGAAGCTCGAGATCATGTAAGTAGCTTGCAGACAGTAAGTGACATAAACACAGTAAATACGATTCACATATCTGACAATGGAGAGCTCGTTACAGGCAAGCAGGACCCCTGTCTTCCTACGGAAAAACACCAGTTTCTTTGCAGTTTCTTCTTTACTTTGAATTTGCTGAGGTTTATTTCCCCCTTCTGTTCAGCCTTCACGTTTCATGCTGCTTTGCTAGTTTTTTTTTTCTTTTCACCTGCTGATATTGTTCTCAGATAATAATACCCGTGAAAAACAAGTTGATAGTATTTCTCCCCTATGAAGCAACCTGGCAAAGAAAATGGAAGTTTTTGTTTCTACTCTTCCTATGTATTTGAAGAAGTGGTGGAGAAAGTTTCATATATATATATATACACACATTTATTTATTTATTTCCAGCAAAGATATGATAGACCTGCTGTCATCAAAAGGGACCAATCTGACTGTCATCTCACCATTCCATATGTGTGTGGCACTTGGCCAGAATCTTGCGGGAACTTCCACAGAAAACTTCCTGTTAGCTCTTTTTATTCTTGAAAACAAGATAGAGTCAGAAGAAATAATTCAAGGTCAGAGGTTCTACCTAAACTGTTTACTCAAAACAGACCAGTGTGTGTGTGTGTGTGTGTGTGTGTGTGTGTGTGTGTGAAAGAAGGAGGCAGACAGTCAGAACAGACTAAATACAGAAGAATGTGTTTAGAGAATCGGCTTTACACATTCAGGTGGGGCCTTGAGAAGGAACAGGTAAATGCAGGCTGTACACACACAAAGAAAGGAGAAGGGTCTACAAACACTGCAAAATTGAAGCTGGGACCCCAAAGCTCATTGGAGCTTTTCAGTTACCAGATTTTGTAAGAGAAAAATTTAAAACTGGGCAGCAGCCAGGTAATAAAGCTTCAGTTTCCAGCCCATTTCCTGCCCCCTCTTCACTAGGTAGGAGGGAGCAAGCGCACAAAGAGGGTACCATGGACTTCAGTCAGCTGGAGAAATCTGCACATCTGTGCCTGAGGTTGGAGAGGGATCTCTAAGGCCTTTTGCGTCACATGCTTCTAATAAGGACATTTATTTCTTCAAAATCATCTACATGTGCTTCAAGGATGAGATTGCTCTACAGTTGTGTGTTTGTTTTCCATGTTTGTTTCCTACATGGATGGAAGGGGCCCTGGAGCCAAGGCAGACTCCTCTACTGAGAAGATGTCCTGAGGAAGGAGCAGGATCTGCAATCAGGGGTCCCATTGGTAAAACTCGTGATTTTTCGCAAGGTCTGAAACACTTCTTTACCTCAGTCTCTTCCTCAAAGAATTGGTGTTAGCAATAATGTGGTGAGATCTCAGGAGCCATGCTGCAAGAGCACTCAGGAGAGAAGGTAAGAGATCAAACACTCATCGCCATGGTGTCGCTGACATTGAGTAGGCACTGAGTGCTCAAGTGTCTGCAGGGAAATTAATCATGTTGATCCAGTGCAAAATGCCAAATGCTTCTTCCTGAACCAAAGTGGTCAAAGTGACCAGTGCCATTCACTCCTCTGAGGCACTCTGACTGGCTCCACCTTCTTGCAGCTGGTCCTGTCTCATGCAATCACCACTCTCTGCCTGCCTGAGCTCACTTCTGTCCTCACCAACAGTCTTTGGGGCTAACCCTGGCATGTTGATGCTAGTCAGTATGTAAAAATAATTTAATGGTGCACGACTTTATTAGATGAATACAAAATTGACACGCAATGTTATTGCTTTGTGAAGTAAGCTGAATTGTATTCATTTTCACCACCCTGCATTTCTCCTGCGGACAATAATTTCTTCTTGCTATTCAACTTCATTTCCATCACCCAGGATAACTTCGCATCATTAACTTGATTAAAATGTTTCAGTGTTTTTTTCATTAATCTTAACAACAACAACAACTACACTCCTTTTGACGGTACTTAAAGGCTACTGTTTATGGCCCACGTACAGAAATATAATAGACGGGTTGGGGATGGATTCAGTGGTAGAATTCTACCTAGTGTGCTCAAAGTCCTGTGTTCCATCCCCAGTAGTCCAAATATTTAAAGAGTATAAATGAGTTTTGGAGAGCTGGTCTGGAGTATTAAATTTGGGCTTTTTTGTACAAATAAGTGTGTTTAAGTAAAAGAATGGTCTTTATATTGATGAAGACTAATCAGAGAGCAGTAGAAAGGATAGATTAAAGAGAAAGGTAATTGATACAGAGAGCTTGAGAGCTTATGGAACATATCTCAAGAGGTGTAGAAGAGCTGAGATAATTTATTTGGATTTAAAAGACCAAGTTTCAAGTCCTGACTATGTGATTTGGAAAATAATTCAATTAATTATACAATGGAAAAGGTTTCCTCCAGGCTTGTAAAAGTGCTTTAGAAACCAGTGAATGTGGACATGTTTTAGATATTGTCAAGAAATATTAATAAGACCTCAGGGATATTTTTATTAAACATACCAAATCAGGAGGTTCTTGTCCCTTTTCCCCCTGATTTTCTTATATTTCTCTGAAGGATTAACCTCATGTCATTTACCTTCCAACATTTTCCATAAGCAAAGCTGTGTGTGTGTTCCTTTTCACTCTGAGTTTATTAGATGCCTCTGATCACACTTGTAGTAAATACCCACACTCCTCCGATGACAGACTTGTCTCACTGTTTGGACCACACAATTATTACAGTGTTGAGTTAGGATGACTTCTTGTGCATGGCATATTTATTAAGATATCCCAAGTATCTGAAAAATTTCAGCATGACACAAATAATCTTCTTCTGACTTAAAAAAATTAATCTACCATGGTCTTGTGGCTGATTTCCTAGTGCTATCAGGTTACCTGTAAGAACAGTTCTCATTGATATTACTGACTCCTGGCCTCAAATTCCCTGAGAGAGTCCAGGGCCATGCTTCTGTGGCATTGCCTAAGCTAATTTATTCATTAAATTAAGGGAAGGTCCTTTGGTCAGCTACTCACACTTCCTGGATCCCCACGCACCTTTACAAATCAGATTTAGGATGTCATGCTAGCTGAGAATCACTCAAGATTTTGAGTTTGGTACATGGATATCGACTTTATCTCTTCCATCTCTCTTGATACACTCATCCAATAACTCACCAACATGGTGTCAATCCTTCCTTGAAAATCAATCCAAAATGTTCTTTTTTATTCATGTCCCCATCAGAGTTTTGTGGACACTTACAATCTGTTGTAGAGAATAATGATTCACCTTGGTATAAAACATCACTGCTTTCAAATACTGACAAAGAAGACACTTGACGTTTGATCTTGACAACCTGGAAGAGAATATAATACAATTAGCCCTATTTTGCAGATGAAGGATAATGAAATTGAGAGCCAGAAAGTTTTAAAAATGCTGATAGTTTAGAAATTCTAACACTAGAATTTCAACAAACCAAGAGAGAAAATAATCTTACATGCTTTTATTAGGTTGTATTTTTCAAATCAAATTATGTATGCACATGTGTATGTATATAATAGCTAATTTAATTTTTAATTAGAGAATACATACATTGGAATAATTGTCATATTACATCTGGATAGATCTCCTGATTCAAGATTACTCAGACTTGCAAATGTGGCAAACGACAGATGTCACCTAGCACCCCACACCACTGTGGCAATGTTGGCGACAAATCTGTGGAGTGTACCCCTCTTGCTTCTGCTTGAAGACTCCTATCTTGAGGACCCTCAGTCTTCTTAGCGTGTCACTCCTCCAATATTGAACAGCTCCATGTCTGTGTTTCTTTTCTTTAATGTGATAGGTGACCCCACAGTATTTGGAAACCATCAGCGTCTCTGATATAGAAGTGATTTCCTGACAAATATTTCTAGGTCAGTGACTTACTATGATCAGTCAACAAGCTCAGCATTCAGATGGATGGAGCATGGGCATCCTTGGGTGGACTGGAGACAGGGCAGCCAGCCATGCTCTTGGGCTTTTCATCAGGAGCACCATGAAAAGCCTTTGCAAACAGGATGAAGATCTCTCCCATTTACCGAGTTAAGATGATTATTGTAGCACTATACGGTTTCTGAATAACTTAAGGTTAGGCAACTGCATTACTGAAGGAAATCAGGGCATCTCAGCCACTGGTGGTGGATTTCCCACCCACAGTTTTCATTCTGAAAAACATCCACAGCTCAGAAGCCCTCACTGAGAAGAGGCAGCGAGCCTGTCCAGCAGTCAGTGTCTGTAAAAAGTATCGCTGTCACACTGATACTGATACAGAGTCCTGGGGCGATGAACCAGCTCCCCCATGACCAGACACAATGAAATTCACAGCTCTGTTGTCTACAATATGTACATAGGTCATCTTCCTCTTATCCAGAAAAAAATCACCACTGTTATTTCTTGCAGTGTCATTGCATAAATGGTGTTATTATGCACATGATGTCCCACATTATTTGAGAATTGGTGTGCACAGATACCTAAGGCAATAGCAAGGAAACTATTCCAAATAGCTGTCAGATGAGCTGGTGTCACACTAGAGACGTGTCATAAAGACAATCACAGCCATATGCATTCAAGAAAAGATGAGTACAACTGACCTCCCTTTTCTCTTGCTTGCTGTTGCCCCAGATTCACAGTGAGACACAGTCTCAATCTCGCCCTCCAGGAACAGGCTCCATACAACTTTATCAGTTAAGGGAATGGATGTAACTGCCTCATTCATAGAATTGCACAGGAAAATAAGGTATAAAATACAAAAAGAACAGATGCCACTTACTTAACAGATAATATCCTTGAGGTATTGCACTCGGCAGTTAGAATGTGTATGTTAGTTTATGTAACAATCACAATGCCTTTAAATGTGGAATGGACATAGATATGAAATCACATATTTATTTCTAAAAGCACAAATTGGGGAATCTGGGAATAGGGTGAGATGGGAGGGGAAGGAGTTGAATGGAAATTAAAAGTGATTTAAATGCTTTATGTATATGTTCCAATTCCCCAAGATGCATATGATTATTACACATTGCAAGCATGTACTAATAGGAAAAGAATTAAGAAAGCAAATGTTTGTTTCTTTCAACTCATTTAAAAACTACCTATAAATTCCCATCTTAATAGATTGATGATATACTCAATTTTAGATATTGCTGATACCTTTCTTTCTCTTAGAGTCATGAAATGATGCCTATGGCTTAGGTAGTGTTGCACCCAGTGAGAAAGAACCAACCAGAGACCAATATTAAATCCATATAGGAGTTTATTACCGGCCAGACCCGAGCAGAGCATCGGACTCGAGCCTTGACTGGGGGGAAATGAACATATTTTATACATCTTTGAGGCCAGCAGATTCTAGGCCCCCCTATGGGATAGAACTAGTAAAGCAAGCAAAAGGTACAGAAGTGGAATGTCCTGCTATTAGAACATTTGTAAAACAATAGTTGATTAATTGTTGTTTCTAAGAGACTCTCTAAGGGGAGGAGGTTTCTAAGCTTCCTCCTTTTGACTTCATCTAAAGGGCAGGCAAGTGGGTCGTTCAGCAGCAATATGGAGTCTGTCTTGCTAACTAGGGTCCTTCAGGTAGTATTTGAAAAATGGGTAAAAAAACATGCTCTTCAATGATTTATGGTCACCTTCTACAAGAATGATGAAGTGGGAAAGAAAGGGCCAATTTCAGGAGTCTGTACAGAGGTCAGGGTGCTGTCAGGACAAGAGAGCGTGGAGCAGCCTGGGATCCACCTGGCCCTGGAGGGCAGTGAAGGACATGTATTCATCTCCACGCTGGCTGAACAGTACTCTACGACTGCTTGTGCTTGGGAAATATCACACACAAACACATACACACACATACACACACACACACACAAACACGCGCTCACGCGCTGACTCCCACCTTCCACTTCCCTCTTGTTACCTCCAGGTATGATGGATTAGTCCACACATTGGCCTGCTGCCTGTAGAAAACAGATCTCCTTTTATGGACTCCACTTCCTTTGATCCTGCTGCCCAATGTACCCTGAATGCAGTGACCAAAAAGTATCACTTTACGAGGTAGCAAAATATAGGTAGAAGAAATACAGAGAAACAGATTCACCTATCCATGTGGCACTGCATAGAATTATATTTTTCAAAAATTTTAAGAAGAAAAGAAACTTGCATACTACTGAGCCAAGAATCATTAAAAACCTACTGGGTGACTGATCTTTAAAATACATTCTCAAGGATTATTTACAGTAATCCTCACACACTCCTGTAAAATCAACCTATTTATTCATGTTTGCAGAGGAAGAATCTGGATTTCTTAGATGTTGACTAACTTGTTCAAGTTCACAAAATTAGACCATCTGAACTGGTACAGTAGAGGGTAATACTCTTTAAAGAAAAAAATAAAAGGATACTCTCATGACTACCCAGCATTTAAATGATATAAGTTCCAGAAAGAAATAAAAGATGAGAATACTTATAATAAACACATTTTTAAATGTTCTAGGACTTACTTAATATCGTAAATGGATAGATTGAAAGGTCCAAAATGTGTCTACCATGTTAGTCTATGTAGACCTAAGCAAAAATAAACCTTTGAGGTAGTCAGCTTCCCATCAGAATTACAAACACCTGAGATAATTAACTTACAACAAGAGAAGAAGTATTCTGGTTAATGATTTTTGAGGGTCTAATCAGTAAACAATTGTGGTGAGGTAGCCCGTAATAATGTAAGCTTGTGGCAGGGGAAAATTGCTTACTTAACCATCAGGAAGTAAAAGGAGAGAAGAGGTAACTGGGGTCCCACATGCCTTGAGGTCCATCCCCTTAAAGACTAAAGACCATAAAAGCCCTATTTCTCAAAGGTTCCCCCACCTGCCAAAAACATCTTCCTGGGGGTTAAGCAATTAATATATGTGCTTTTGAGATCCATTCAAGATCCAAACTATCGTGACCTTCAAGGACTATTTAGCACCGGCTACAGAGAGAAGTCCCACAGAATGAAGGATGAGATTTCTCAGCAGCAGGATGAAAGCCTTCCAACCTCTCAAGAAAGCTGACTTCCTGCTTAGAATCCCACGCCCCTCCCGGGAGCAGCCTGTGGTTGTAGAAGAGAGACATATTAACATTGATGAGATCGCCAAAGAAACCAGCTTCTTACACTGTGTTGCAAAACCCCAGCAGAGCATACCTTCCATAAAAAGAAGCAGCATTCAGGAAGGAAAGCAGAAGAGCAAATGGAAGAGACAGCAGAGGGGAGCCTTAGTACACTACTGTGTACTAAGAAGAACGTGCTACAAATGTGTGGCAAGGACAGTGCTGTGGTCGCTATGGTGACCGCAGAGTCCCAGAGACGTTTAGTGCCCTCATTCCTTTTACCGGAAACATCCATGGAGATGAGATGTCCCCACAAGAAGAACATACGTTTCTTAAATAAAGAGTTAATCCACAACTTGGTACTGCTCATTAATCAAAAACCTGAACAGCAGATTAAGTGTCGAATAGTAAGTTTAAAGCAGTGAAGGATAAAAACAAGTACAGAAGAAATGGAAGAGAGTTTGTTCCAATGAATAGACATTTCCACGTATACTACGTCTTTGAGACACGAGTACTCACTTCCTAATGATCTGCAGACCGCAGGAAGGTGGCCCTCTCATTTCTCTGCTTCACTTTAATTGGTAGTAGGTACTGGCAAAACTCGAATCATACAGAATAAAAAACAGGGAAAATGATTTATGACCTTCAAAATTGGAATTCTGTAACCAAATGATATGATTATAGAGACCACATGGATTAAAAAATGTGACTGCCAGATTTAGAAATAATGGTAGATAGGTTCGCTATTTAAATAATATTTGAGTGTGATTTGTAAACTACTTGAATACAAATGTAAAACTACAGTGAAATTCAGTGCACTGACATGTTTACTAAGTGGTAGAAAACTTAAGAAGATAAACAAAAAAAATTTATAAATATGCTCAAATTTTAAAAAAACTTCAAAATAGATGGTAGGTAACCTGGACAATATAATGAGTGAGTTATTTAGATCTTCAAGAAACATGAAGAACTGCCCAAACATTTGTAGAAAAAAATGTGATTAATACTTTAGAATTTATGCTGAAAAGCACTGTGGGTGAATTAAACATTATATTGTAAAATTGAATGCTAGAAAAGCTATATGAAATATGGTATGTGAACATATTTATCCCTATGATTTCCTTTGTTCCCTTTTGGTGGGAAAAGCCTTCTTAAGCACATTCTAATATTGTAGGCATCCTAACAACATATTGGTCAGAGTCTGTGGAAGGCTGAAGATGCTACCTTACCTGTGTTAGGAATAAGACATCAACACTAATTTAAAGGTAAATAATAAATGGGGGTAGTTTGTTTTCTTTTTGTTGTTGTTGTATTTAAAAAGATATTATCTAAACCCTTATTTATAATGAACTCCTAAATAAAAGGGCAGCTGAGGACACTGCGGTGAAGAAGGGAGATTCAGTATTGTCAAAAACCTTTGCTTTCTCAAATGAATCCAGAGGTTCAAAGGAGTTCCAATTGAAAGCTCAGGGGTATGTGGGACACGCACTGAGTTTATGATCACCTAGGAGAGCAGAGACCTGAAAGGGAAGCGCCCCTGTACGTGGGCCCCAGGTAGGTCCTGGGAAATGGGCCACCTGCTGCAGCTCCTTGCTGCCTGCTCCACCCTAGCTGGGTGGTGATCCACCCCACAGTCTCCTAGTCTCAGTTTCAATTAGGCAAGTATTCATGGTGGTAGTACCAGATTTAGATAAGCTAAGTCATGCACATTTTTTATCATTAGCATGCACTAAATCTCAATAAGGAATTAGCATTGTCCTTCACTCTCCACATCTACACTGCTGTAAAACAGTCACTTTTTAGTGTACCTCACACTTACCATGCCAAAACACATGGCCGTACATGGGGCAACTACTGGGCAGCTGGTCCACTCTTGGCCACAGGTCCAGGTAGCAGAAAGTTGCTGGCTGAAGGGAGTAGGCTATCTCAATAGACTCTAAGGATGAATGGGGCTTCCAGGTGCTACACTCCCACTGGGGAGTAGCTGATGTGCTTCCAAAGATCAAGAGCATTGTAGAATCCAACCAACAAACCCAACCAACAAACCCAACCAACAAACCCAACCAACAAACTGAGATGCTCCTGTTCAGCCAGATTGGTCTCTGGCTTGTAGTTCCTGTCTTCTTTGAATCTATGGCTCTCCATCTGCTCCAACATGACAATCCTTTGACATGATGATCCTTTTCTGATCATTCAAAACCATCGTCACCTATTCCTACATTTCTAGCTCCATTAGATTCAAAGTGGAAATATTAATAAAGGAAGAGCCCTTTTCACTTCACCTGTTGTACGGAAGTAACATTATGGGACACAGTATTTTCCTATCAATATTTTTACTACCATGTTATATTTTGTGTTATTAATTTGGCACTTCTTGCTTCTACATCATATAAATTTTCTTTGTGTCTCTTGTTACTTAAATGTATTTCTGAACTGCAAGACTAATATTCATTTATATGACTTATTATTGAGTTGTATAATATTTAATGTATAGTTTAATAATGTGAGACATAAACTATAGAATAAGGTTTCATAAATATGCAAGAGTTCTGCACTTATTCAAACTCTTTTATTGAAAAATTAGCCTATAAATTTCTATGAAAATCTGTGTCTTTCCCACTCATAAAATTTGTAAATACTGAATTCAATGCATTGAACTTGTATCAGTTTGAATTTCTAGTCAACATTTCCTTGCTCTGGGAGAAAAAGACACTAAAACACCCATGTATTAGAAGATGCTACAGAAAAATTTTAAGAATGAGCAACTCAAATTTTTCTCACAGGTGAGCTGCCTTAGGCACACCAGATAATGTGATAACCACTTTACGATATTTCATGAAGTCTTTGTATATTCTTAGAACTCTCTGCCTTGCACGTAAAGTGTGGGAAGGAAAACAATTCGCTTAAATCATTCAGCCAGGACCCAGATAACTCATAACATATGGAACATGACTTGAGTACCTTTCCAGCACAACGTCTTGCTCACACTCAATAAATGTGACATCCACTAACCCACTGTCAAATGCCACAGAATGCCACATGGAAATTACTGACGACAACCAGAATGTCATAGGATTGGAGACCCATGTAAAGGGCCTTATATCTGGATGCTTTTTTATTATTTAAATGTTTCAAACTATTATTTTGTTTGATTGAATGCTTTAAAGCCTATCACCTTGTTAACTCTAGGTGGCAACGATAACATTATCATATAACTTTATGCACCTTAAGTTGCTTAGATTTCCTCTCTCTTTCTTCTCCAGCCTCCATACTGGTTCTTCATATGTTTTGTGCTACACTTGAGTTGCCGTAGATTTTTGATACTTGACTACATTATTTGCTCTTTGATACAAGCCTTGTTAGATGGGTACCAGATTCAAAACTTCTGCTTCTTCCCCATAGGCCGGAGTAATTAGTTCCTTATGGGAAAATGAGAGGGAGAGGAAGAGAGAGAGAGAATATCAAATTATGGTGATGCACTTGGGAAAGATAGTTATCACAAGAATATTATTATTTAAAATATGAATGTATGGAGTTCCTTATCTGCTTGCTACATATGCGAATTAAAGAACTCACTTAGAAAGGATGATAAAGGCTACTTTGTCCACTGAAACTTTCAGAAAGAGTTTGATCTTCCTAATGTTTCCATAGAAACAGATAAAACACTAGCAAAGGCGATGTCAGGCCCTTTCATACAATTTTCCATCACCTGTGATTTTTTAAAATCAGATTTTATTTTTCCCAGTTCAATATCATGATTTGCTGCTTGAAGTTAACTGGTGCCCTCATTTTCACAGACTCCAAGGTATAGCTCATTGAAATGCAGATATAGGAAACCAGTGCTTTAGAACAATACATCTTGATTCTCCGGTTTCAATGACGTCTGGCTCAGAGCTCTGACACAGACACCCCCAGGTTGTTAATTAGAGACCTGTGTAGGAACAGAAAGAGACAAAAATACCCCAGCAATATCAAAAATTAGGACTTAACATGCAATGTACCTGAGAGGAATTTCTATGAACCATGAGGCCAAAAGATTGGACTCGACCTACATAGTCAGTAGTCTTTCCTGGCGTCGCCTGGGAAAAAGCTCTCTGTCACTCTTTGATCTTTTCTTCTTGTTTTTATCTCATTCAGAAATGCAAAATCTTTTATTTCAGGGCTGTTATTTTTTTGGGGGGGGTACCGGGGATCGAACTCGAGTCCTTGCACTTGCGTAGCAGACGGTGAACCCACTGAGCTAACTCCCTGGCCAAAGGGCTCTTATTTTTTTTTTTGAGGCACCAGCCTCATCCCCTTCTTTCAGCTGCTTAGACACCACGCCTGGTCAGTGTGACAAAACATACAATGTGTGTGCTGGGTGCACTCTCACTCCTCCCTCAGTGTGTGATTGTGCAGTGGTGAGGCTGGATAGGTCTCACCCTGTTCAGGGTGCAAGGGCAGAGTGCAGGGACCCCTGACATGGGACCCTCGGGAGAAAGGGACAGGGCCTGGCCCAAGTGGAGGAAAGCAAAGGAAAGATGATGAATGCAGGTGGAGCAAACCCTGCACTGCAGACAGCGACTGGCTGGGCATGTGTATTGGTGCATACTCTAGGATAAGGACTGCCACTGGAAATATCAGCAAATCACTTCACCTCCTGGAGCCACAATCCTTTTTTCTCTCTTCTGTCAAATGAGGTGGTCGAACTTGCTGATTTCCCATACCCTACTCCAGCTTTTTCCACCCAGTTCTCTGCAGGAGCAGTCATTTGAAGATCACGGGTGAATTCCTCCTGCCTCTCCTCCCTTGGAGCTAACCTCAGAAATGTGTTTGTTCCCTTCTTTGGCTACTCTTCCAATGGTGAACACTCATCATCATAAATCAGAGGTGGCATTCACCAAGGAGCATTTAACATAGGCTACTTTTACTCATTTTTCCAGGAGAATGGCCAGCCAAAATAAAACGAGTAGATAATATACAAAGCTTATGAGATATATTACCAAGTTGATCTCATAAAGCTTGGTAGCTAGAGTAGGCTGGGGCTGATATGAGAAAAGTTGTGGAATTGTTGATCAAAGAACAATAGTTGAGTAGGAATAAGAGATCTGGTGTGACATTGCATGGTAGGGTGAATACAATTGGAAACAATTGTGTACGATGTATTTGAAGAGGCTGGAAATAGTAGCCCAACCTGAGCAACAGTGACTCAATGAGACTCTGTCTCCAAA